GGGGAAATTAATACTTTCCACAATTTCTTCCAAAGGTAAGTTCGTTTATGTTTTCTGACTTCAAAAGCAGATAATTTGATTTCCATTGATCAATATCTAAGAAAATAACCGTTTGATGTGATTGTACTTTAGTGTGTTTCATACTTAGTTCTAAATTATAAGAAAAACATTCATCATTCAATGGCGTCAATTTAATTATTTAAAGTATGACATTTGTTAGGAAAGACTAAGTCACAGTCAATGAGTCAACGTCGATATAACCCTTTTATACAAGAAAATCACAGTGATATGCTATGATAAGTTATGTGTACTTGTGTTTTGATGATTTAACAAATTATATATGAGAACCAGATAGGGAACCTGATACAAAGCCTCTCTGTGCTTAGAACATCAAGTCACATGTCTGGCACAAGTTCCAATGATATAAGTTAAGGGAGCAGAAGAGGGAATCAGTTCCTCCGGTCATAGTACAAGTCAACTCTTTACAACTGTTAAAGCTGCTGCACTGCAGGCGCAACAGTGCGGCAGTTACTGTTGGAGCATGCTGTGTATCGGACACTTGCTTGCATCATCCTAGTGACCTCACTTATATATTACCAACATGAGGCAAAGGATGAGACACACTTGCAAACCCTAAAAGATAATTTACTCTCAAGTGTGCAGCCGCCTTCATTCACTTCAAGGCTTGAAGAACAAAGTAGCGACAGAACAAAGGACCAAATCCCGACACTGAGTACATCGTGTGTCCTTGGTATTGTTGTATCTTTGTTAATGTTGTTCACTTGTAATTCCTACTCAGCTTAGTTAGAAGCATCTCGTAGGATACCTTTGTAAACCATAAATCTTGTGTTTGTGTTTGTGTTTGTGTTTGACTAGAGTTAGTCAATATGGTGAGCTTTGTAATAGATTAATCAATAAGAGGCTTGCAATATAGTTATTGCAAGTAGGTGAGGTGTTAAAAGTTTAATTCCTAGGTATAGGTTGTAATCTAAAGTTGCTCGATTTGTGAAGTTAAAATCCTACGAGTGTAGGTCGTGGTTTTTAATCCCGTGAGCTGGGAGTTTTCCATGTAAAATACTGTTGTGTTATTTACTTACCGTTGTGTGTGTGTGTTCTATGGGAACTGATAGAGAACCAGGTTCTCTATACAGTTTAGTGAACTCTTAGTTTATATTAATTGGTATCAGAGCAGGTTCTTTCTATAAGAATAACACCTAGAAAGGATCTAGATGGCTGCTCCATCAAACTTTGAAGAAGGTCAATCAACCTACAGACCACCAAGATTCAGTAGACAATACTATGGCTGGTGGAAGACAAGCATGCATGATTTTATAGATGAAGATTCGGAGCTTTGGGATGTCATCTGTGATGGACCCTTCGTCCCTATGAAGACCATTGGCGAGACAGCAGTCACAGTCCCAAAGACAAGGAAGGAGTACAATGATGCCGATCTCAAAGCTATCGAGAAAAACTTCCAAGCAAAGAAGATCATCGTATGTGGTATTGGACCAGACGAGTTCAACAGAATCTCAGCGTGTTAATCTGCCAAGGAGATCTGGGAAGCTCTCTAAACAGCACATGACGGTACAACTCAAGTCAAGCAGTGAAAAATCGACATGCTCACTACTGAGTATGAACTCTTCAAATAAAAGATGATGAGTCCATTCAGGACATGCATACTTGCTTAACTTCCATCATTAATGAGCTCCATTCTCTAGGAGAGATTATTCTAAGAAACAAACTAGTTCTCAGAAAAATACTCAGTGTGTTACCTGGTTATTGAAGAAGAAGAAGAAGAAGAAGAAGAAGAAGAAGAAGAAGAAGAAGAAGAAGAAGAAGAAGAAGAAGAAGAAGAAGAAGAAGAAGAAGAAGAAGAAGAAGAAGAAGGAGGAGGATCATGAAAGAAGAGAACCCAAAAAGGAGAAGAACCTGATTCTCAAAGCAGACAACAGTGACTCAAGTGGTGATGATGCTAACATGGCCTACTTGACACGAAGGTTTTAGAAGATGGTTCGTAGAAATGGAGATATTCCAAAAAAAGGGCAGCTCTAGTAGAACAAAAGGCTATGATTGCTGTAAAAAATGCGGGGAAGCCAGGACATTTCATCAAAGATTGTCCTCTCAAGCAGGAACATTACAAGCACAACACAGACAAGACGTCTAAGAGGACCTGGTTCTAGACAGGAAATTCAAGATGGCGCTGATAATGTCGTGAAACAAGCTCTTGCTGCATGGGGAGATTCCTCAAGTGAATCTGAGGGCGATGATTGACAAGGCGACACATCCATGATGGCCACCGAAGATGAAGCAAGAGAACATGACTCCATATTTTCCCTAATGGCAAAATTTGATAAGGATGGATATGATGATGATGATGATGAGGTAAACTTTCTAGACTTTCAAGAAATTTGAAGTCTTACTCTCAAAAGAAGTTGGTATCTCTAGCTAATGTCTTGATTGATGCTTACCATAATCTTATCAACGATAAAAATATTTTAACTAAGGAGTTAGGAGAGGTAGAGCGTGAGAAAGATGATTTACTAGTTGTAGTTGTTGATTTGAAAGAACTAGAGGATTTAAAGAAAGAAAAGGATGTTCTAACCGAGAAAATTGAAAAGGTTGAACATGAGAGAGATGACCTGTTGGTAGTAGTTGTGGATCTAAAAGAAACATTAGAGGATTTTAAAAAGGGTACATCGTTCATTCTTCCTAGGTCTTGATATGAGGGGTTCCTGGCCTCGATTATAATCACGTCGATCTGTGCTTCCCCTTCATTTTTTCATTGGGGAATCGAGAAAAACTTTGCCCCCGATTTTAGCCGTACACACCATCTACATATAATAAAAGGAGAAGCAAAAGCACTATATTAAGGCAAGTGGCATAACCGCAAAAACCAAGTGGCATTGTTAAGACAAAATAAACTACCTTTCTAACTAAAAAAAACCTTTGGAATTTTAAATTTTGAACTAATTGGTACTCTATTTGAATTAATAAATATAGATATCTTATAATTATAATAATAAAAACGAAAAAAAAATACACATTCAAATTGGGAGTAGTTTCAAGTTGAAGTTTTAAAATTATTTTAAAATAAAATAAAAATAAATAAATAAAAATAAAAACTAAAAATTCAAATTGGGGAGTAGTTTCCTTACTATATTAAGAAGAAAAAGCAATCTCATTAAGCCAAGTGGCATAACCACAAAAAGTCAAGTGGCATTGTTAAGACAAAATAAACTACCTTTCCAACTTAAAAATATTTGAATTTTAAAATTTTTAATTAATTGGTTACTCTATTTGAATTAATAAATATAAATATCTTATAATTATCAATAATAATAAAAGTATAAAGAAAAACTATCCATTCAAATTATGGAGAAGTTTCAAGTTGAAGTTTTAAAATTACTTTAAAATAAAATAAAATAAAAAATAAAAAATAAAAAATAAAAAACTAAAAATTCAAATTGAAAGGATTGTAGTTTTTATCAAATTATCCGTGCATCGTGTGGGTTAATACTAGTTGCAAGAATATAACGATATTACAAGGATTTTACATTGTTAGCATATTTTGCTTAAATTCCTTGAGGTTTTAGTGAATGTCAGCCTCAGTGTGATCAAAATTAAATTACATTCTTGTCGAGCCAACCAGGAGGCCTTTAATTCCTGTAGCAAGTTCAGTTTCAGTGCAACTGAATATTATGTAAGTTGGTAATAAATTTATAAGCATGGTTTTTTTTTTTTCTCTTTTTCGCTCTGTTATTTTCTTTGGGAAGTGACGAATTAGCTGAAAATAAAGGGACAATATGGGGAGAGGCAGTTGGTTTAGTTTCAGTACAGTTACTTCTGCACATTCCTCATCAATACTAGAAAAGCGCATTGTGGACCCTTTACGTGTGTGCTTCATAAATACAAAACCTTATAACTGCAACAAGTTAATAGCCCCACAAATACAATAGTATATATAATATATAATATATAATATATCAGAATAACAAAAAAACCCAAACCAGAAGTTTGGTGAAAACTAGAACTCTGCTTCTCTATCTATATAAAAACAATGCAAACACAATAAAATCACAAGGCAAACAGCGACTATCCTCGTGTGTTCACGCAATTGGTTACTGCAGTCAAAAAAATCAAATATATCTGATATTGCATTTACCTCTTTTCATGAGTCTCATCTCCTCATTTTTATTCCTCTTCATCTAACCAACTCCACCCCCCTCTCTATAGTCTATACCCTTCTTTGTTATCTCCATTTTTCTAGTAGGATTTAAGTTATATATACGTGACACTTAAGTGTAGTTTTATCAGCTGTAACAGAATACTTACTAACGTTTTGCACAGGTAAACATTTCATATTTGCTATAGAAAGTTATATATTACTTAATGGATTTTTAAGTGATCTAATAGCAGAGGCGGACCTACCCTTTTGGGTAACTTCGGAAAAATATATTTATATAAAAGTGTATATATAACAGGTATATATTTTGATTGGCTTCATAGATGCATTGGTCGATGTGAATGGCACAACTTGAATTTTAGTGCGTTGCCTGGGTTCGATTCCGACTATAGCAATTGCTCAAATTCTTATTCGATAATAGTGTAGCCGCCGCTTTCAAATCTTGGGTCCGCCTCTGGCTAGTAGTGTACAAACATTTTACCGTGACACTATATAGAAATTAAATTCTTTGTAGTATGATTTACATAGCCAGCCTGTAGTACTGTATAGACTCTTTACTTCACACCAAGAACCTGTTCAAGAATTATAGTAGTATATATTAAAGCTTTCCTTAAGCTTTCTGTGCATGACACAAAACACTAAAAAGGACAAACTAATGAACCCCTTTATAGTTTTGCAGGATATCATGTAGTGATCATTTGCCTTTGTCCTCGTTTTCAACCATTTCTGGTCTGACATTCAGAAATAAGTCTAGTATTTCGCCATTGTTGTTGCCATTCTTGGAAATAAAGATTGTACTTTTTTTTCAGTCAAAAAAATGGAGAGTTTGCTATGTGATGAAGTCTGGCTCATGAGTCCTGAAGATCATGACGTGCATGTAAATAATGAAGAAGAAGGAGATACTTGTTTTTTCTACTCAACCAAAGAAGAATGTGAACAAGCTTTTGGGATATTATTAGAGAATGAGATGAGTTACATGCCTAAACCAGATTATGTGAAGCGAATAAAAGAAAACTGTTTTATTGAGAATGCTAGGTTCAAAGCTATTTACTGGTTTATTAAGGTAACATCATCTCTTCTTCTTGTAATTAAGAAGCATGTATTTGTTGTCTAGGTTCTGTCATTCGTTCATTGTTAGATAAAATTTTAGTTTAGTTTTATTTCTTTGTTTGATTACTAAAATTACTCTACAGTGTCAAAGGAGGTGGAATTTCTCTTTCGGAACTATATTTGGTGCTGCAAGTTATCTTGATCGGTTTATCTCTTTAAATAAGTGCCAGGTAAGAATACGTTTAAAAAAGTTATAAAAAAAAAATTCCAAAAGAAACAAAAACATTGAATTGAATTCAGTTGACCAAATTTTATACTATGCTAAAACTAAATTTGAAGGGATGGAGATACTGGATGTTCGAGTTACTGTCAATTGCATGTTTGTCTGTAGCCTCCAAATTCCATGAAACAAACCCTCCTCAATTGCTTGAATTACAGGTGAGTAGTCCTCCACCATTTATTTTTATTTATTTATTTGTTTAATCCGGATGCTTTCTTTTTTTCTATTTTCTAGACTGTTTGTGAAGGGTAACCTTGGAGCAACGGTAAAGTTGTCTCTGTGTGACCTATTAGGTCGAGCCGTGGAAGTAGCCACTATTGCTTGCATTAGAGTAGGCTGTCTATATCACACCCCTTGGGATGCGGTCCTTCGGTCCTTCTCTGGACCTGCTTAACGTGAGATGTTTTGTGCACCGGGCTGCCCTTCTATACTGTTTGTGTCTTTAGGTTAGATGTTATTTGTGTTATTATATATTGATTGATAGATTAATTAACATTTGGTTGGATGATGGCAGATGGAAGGTGTTGGACATTTGTATGATCCAAAAATGATCAAACGTATGGAGTTGACATTGTTGGAGTCTTTAGGATGGAGATTAAGTTCTACAACACCATATTCATACTTTGAATTGCTTCAATGGAATATCAAGTCTCTCAAATTACCTCTCTTTCATGATTTTACTTCCCATGTCAAGGAGCTACTTCTTGGAGTTCTTTTAGGTATACAAAAACACTTGGAACCCTTGCTCTTCTTCTTTTCTTTTTCAATTTAACTTATATATAATTGATAAACAGTCAAACGTCTCTATAACAACCATCTTCTATAAAAAGTATTTCGCTATAACGATCAAGTATTTGTTGCCATTTTTTATTTTATGTTGTTCATAATAGCACTTTGCTATAGTAGTCACAAAATGTCGAGGCTATTATAGAGAGGTTTGACTATACTATGGGTGCTCATAAGTTGAACTTTTAAGAACCAAATTCAATTTGAACATTTGAGTTTTCCTAACATTAACCACTAAGCCTGTTGACAGATGCTAAATTCTTGGAGTTCAGACCTTGTGTCATTGCACAATCTGCTGTTAACTGCGCTTGTGAAGATTTCTCTCCATTAATAGATGACTATTTCAACAATTTTTCTAGACTCTTCCCTCGAGATCAAAAGGTAATAATTAAGATTAATCACACATAATCCTTTTATTTTTTTCATGAAAAACATGCTTTCTATAAGAACTTGAGTGCTATTCCATTGATTTCTCATTAATATATTTTGGTTTTTCTCATTAGGATGATCTAACAAAGTGTCAAAAAATGATGAATAAACAACTCTTGGTAGAGGAATTTCAAGAAATGGTGACATATGGAGGTTTCAGTTATGGCCCTTCAAGTCCAGTAACTGTATTGACAATGGAGCAGCATGAGTTGTGTGATTGCCAACTTCTTCATCATTGCTATTGCTCTCTCTTCAACATTCCTCAAGGGGACATCAATTTCATATCTAACGTCAAAAAACGTAAAAGGGATCAAGAAGAAGACCTTAATGTCGTCTAAGGTTGTCAGCTACAAAAAATGGTGTAGTAGTAATTTGTATTGTGTTGTACTAATTGATAACTCTTTAAACGCTACTAGCTACAAGTATAGGGAGATTGAGGATCAAGATTATCATTGTTCTACTGGCTATTTTGAATCGCATAAACGAGAGAAATCTCTATGCTAATAGCGAAGCTTTTAGCAAAACTTTTAACCTTATCACCTTATCTTGTTATTGTTACTATTTGTTGTGTCTTCTTTTTCACTTTTATCTTGAGACGAGAGTCTATCAGAAACAACATCTCTACTTTTACAAGGTATGGATAAGGTCTGTATGCGTTCTACCCCAGAACCCCACTTTGTGAGATTACACTGGGTTTATTGTACAATCAAATAGCGGCATAATTTTTCTATTTTGATTTCAGACGTATTTTATTCGATGTATTTGAATATGTCTAATCGTCTAACTTTCCCTACCAAAATTAATATTTCTGACTAAGCATTCTCTCAACGTTTGAACCCTCATTCTCCAATATTTGACATTATAACAAAAATTTGTCATCTTCAATTTTGGCCATTATTTGTTATAATCAGAACATAAAGGTTAATAACTTTAGATCAAAAACTCAACTTGAAGATAAAGATTCCTTTTTATACCTCAAAAATATTACTACTCACTTAACGATATACAGATATGCTAGAATTAGTTGCATGGGATAATGGCAACGTGAGCTTCCATAGCGATTGTACTTGTAGAAGTGGTTCAAGTGGCTACGTGGCTCCTGGAATAGAGGTTACGTGTTTCATTCTTGTCTTCTCAAATTCAACCGTTGAAATTTTACTCTCTATTTTTTTTCTTCTTAATTTGTCAATGAAGTGGAGAAAACAAAACATAAAAAAGAGAAAAACAGAAGAAAAGATGAGCAAATTTGTTTATCTTTTGAAGGGTAATAAGGTTGACTGATAAACAAATTTACTCTGCATAGTTGGATCTTTTGCTTTCTTTGTTAACTTATATTCCATCAGTCCAAGTTTTAATAGTATTTGATATAAAAAATTTAATAATCCATATTTTATGTAATCCGTACAAGGTTTTAAGGTCCATATTAGAACACCATAATATTCGTCTATTTGAGGTTATTCTCAATGGTGAATCGATCATTTCATATTATTTTCCTTCTGTGGCGGACTGGAAGAAAAGTATAATAAACTTGCGAAGGCTACTAAACAACTTGCTTTTACTTTCTCAATAATAAAGCAACTCATTTGAAGGTAATTTATATGTCATCGCTTCCCCTATTAGTACTCTCTTTAACCGAAATCGTTATGAATAAACCCTTTTTTTAACTGATTAAATTGCAAGGAGTAGATTCAACTTTTGAGAAATGATCACTTTGAGCTACAAAAAACCTGATTAGGTTTTCCTTCAAAGCTTACCTTCTTCCCTATGTTGTCACAGGCATACTCCCCGCCTAAATTGGACTACACCTTTTCTACTTTTTCTGCCACCTCACAGAATCCGATCTCTTTTACCCAACCCTCAAAAGAAGAACATGAATTTGATATTGCAAAAATGGTTTGGGAAAAGAAAGATGCTCTTGCTTCCCAAAAACAGCCTATGAAAAGGCGAGATCACGAAAAAAGTTCAAAAGGGATCAACCCCGAAAATTTGATGATTTTTGATCAGAAGGCTTCAGAACTTTATATTGCACAACCAAGAAATAAGGCACAAGAGAAGGGGATACCACATGGTCTAAATCTCAAAATTTATCAGATGATGATTTTACGGAAGACATCTCTCAATAAAGCGTAGACTCCACACCCAACTCTTCCAAAGAAGACTATCCCCTGATATCTGTGAACCTGCCAATGGAACCAGAAATATATACGATAGGTAAGGATCAAGACAGCATGACAGATGAACCTTCTAGAAAAGGAGACAAGAACCCATGGCGTCAAAAGCAATCGGAACTGGTTTCCACACTTTTACCTTAGATAATGTCAAGGTTTCAAAATGGGCTCAAAGGATGTAAGATTTCTATACTTGGATGGTGACCAACAATATAGTGAAACGAGAAGATTATTTCATCCTGTAAGAACTCACTTCACGCTTCTCAGGAATCCTCAGAGACGGGTAGAACTCACTTGAGATTTAAGACAAAAATACTTTTCTTACTAACCAAGATTTTTCCTTCAATATGAGAATCCTATATGAAATTTTCTGTGGAGATATTGGCCAAAGACAAGAAAAAGATGTGAAGACAACTCTTCGAGATGAAGTGTGTGTCATTTGACAGAAATGACATTGACAAGCATTTCAAAAAAATGGCAAAGATATACTTTGATATAGGCTACTGATATTTTATTCTGCATCACTTGCCTCATTCAAGAATTATTTGTGATCTAATCCGCATGCATCAATAGAAAAGGTGAGTCCCTCATAATATACATGTAGACAATAAAATTCGTCAAGAAAATAAAATCGAGACCGAAAAAATATTGCAACAATCGTAGTATTTGAATTTAAATAATATGAGTGTACAATCTCTATGAATCCTTTTATTCTTCTTTCCAATAGTAAATAAATTCAAGGGCCTTCGAGCTTGATCTTGAATCTATATTTTTTGTCACAAACGATGATCTTGAATTCAACTAGCACGAACCTTGATTTGAACTCGTACTCCTTGAACCTTGATTCGTTCTACGTTCTTGAGCTTGAATTGATTTCTTGAACTTGAACTTGATTGCTTGAAGCTTGAAACTTATAGAGAAAGCGGTGTTTGATCCACGAGCTCTCTCTTGCTTCTTGTTATAATTTCTGGTGTCTTTTCTGGATTTTGAAGACCCCTATTTATATTTATGATAGGGAAGAGTTATGATAAGAACAAACTCTTTCTAACCAATCAGATTGAAGAGTGACAAGGCCGCATTTGATTGGCCAGAAGATATCACTTGCACATGTGGCACGATTTAATTGGCCTTTTAATTTGACTTGGCATGCCTTGTCATTTTGACACGTGGCATAATCTCATTGGCTCTTCTGTTTGACTTGACGTACCATGTCATTTAACACGTGGCACCAAACTGGGCCTCTAGGAAGATGACATCTTGGGCTTATGAAGTGGGCTCATCACTTTAGCCAAATTAAATGGGCTAGCCTAATGGATTAAGACTTACTCATTTAATTCATATGTATTGGACTTATATAATTAATTCAATTATATTAGTGCATAATAATTATCTGAACTAATATATCTGGAATTTAAAATATAGCCCAAATAATTTTATGATTTAATCCAATAAAATTTAGATGCCTACAAATGCTCCCTACTTCAATACTTCCCTGTATAATTTTATTGAAATTGAGGCAAGGGTTGAAGTATTGGTAGGACATCATTTATTTACCTTCGTACAGTAACATCACGCCAAACACCCATAGACTTGAAGATTCCTTTAATCATTTGGATGATTACCATAATTATCTAAAATAATATATCCTTCATTGGTGCAAAGTTTCATACAATCCATCATGATACAGCACAATCTTAGAAATTGGCAAGTGTCGTAATAAACATCTCTTTGGAGATATACGTAAGAATCACATGTTTTTTTTGGCCAAAATACATTATTTACCATTTATTTGGTTTCATCTCTTATACTTCCAATTTTAAAAGAGCTAAATCTTACAGTACTAGTAACCCCAAAAGAATAATCACGTGAGCTTTCAGGAGATTTGCAGTCGTACCCTATATTTGTGCCACCTTTTAACCTGTACCCTATTTTTAAAAATTATTAATTTGGTAGCCAGTTGAAAAAAAATCCGTAATAATATGACACTTACACCCCTGATAAATCGCATGATCTGCGACCTCATTCATGAAAAAAGATTTCCTCCGCTCCTCTCAGCAACTTTCAAAAAACCAGAAACTTCATATTAATGTAGCATGAAGTTGTTTCATGTTGAAGCTAAAACTTCATGCTAATATAGCATGAAGTTGTTTTACATTGAAGCTAAAACTTCATGCTAATGCATGCTGAAGTTATTTATCCTGCAGTCTACAGTTTTGTCATGAGTGCTGAAGTTATTTAGTTCATTTGCTAAAACTTTAGTTTAAACATGCTGAAGTTATTTAGTTCATTTGCGAAAACTTCAGACTTAAACATGCTTAAGTTTTTGTCTTGCAGTATGTAATTTTCTAATGAGTTTTTGGTAATGCATGCTGAAGTTATTTAGTTCATT